TCCATGGAAAGCAAGGACCCCTTTGATGACATTCGCCCTACAGATAGACCTACCGGAAGCATAATGTCACAGGCCACTGCAGATTGATACTCTCTGACTTGCGCATATCGGTACACATGAGTCGCGCCTGAATCCAAGAAAGCTTCTGCAACTGAAATACGCTCATCTTCACCAACAACAACCTCTACACCAAACGTACAGAACCTAGGAACATCCTTTTCAAACCCTGGAAGCTTCAATTCACGGAAATCACCCATGTCGGCTCCATCCGGCTCTAGCCGATCCCTGCTCTCGCTGGCCCCATCTGGCTCTAGCCAGCTCAGGCGATTGGCCCCTTCCGGCTCTAGCCAATCTGGATGAACGGTCCCTTGCGGCTCTAACCGAACATCTGCCCTTGAGCGAGTCCATTTCGGAACCCCGCCCTCACTACTTCTAGGTGATTCCTGTAAATTCGAAGCAACCTCCCCAATTCCCCCCGGACCACAACTGACCTTCAAATCCGAAGTTGAAGCACCACACGAAACCGGACCAAACGAAACCGGACTCCCCCCATCCTGCAAGGATGCCACTCCGGGCCCCTGAAGACATGCCAAACGAATCCCTTTCAAGACCCGACCAGCTTCTTGCTCTGCGGATGTCCCTGCAGCTGCGGAGGTGTTTCCGCTATGTGTAGATGCGTTTGTAGCAACTTCGGCGATGACAGGTCCTGGGGTTTCTACTGTAGCCGCTGCAATGTTCGGCTTGCCTCCTTTTGGAGGCCCACCCTTGTTACCCTTGTTGCCCTTACCGCCCTTGCCTCCCTTATCCCCTTTCTTGAACTGAGGACCTTGAAGAGTAGGGCATTCAGGACGACGATGATTCGTTGCGGGATCTGTGGCTCCGCAAGCATAACATACTTGTTGCCGAGCAGCTTCTGCAAAGTCGTGCAGGTTTCTACAATTATCCCCAAAAGCACACCCGCGCGGCGTTAGGTACCCCTTGCACGTCGGCTTATTTTCCTGCCCTTCCCTTGTACCCCCGGAACCCCCGGAACCCCCTTGGTCTTTACCCTTCGGCTTCCCTTTAGGCTTCCCTTTTGGAGATCCTTTCCTAGGGTTGTTTGGGGCGTTTGGGCTTGCTACATCATCAGTCTCAGTGGCCTTTGCTACGCGTGGCTTCTTGGGATCTGACTCCAACCCATACTCGAGAAGCTCCGCTTCGGCCTGAACATGCTTCAAGTACGAAAGGACTGACTCCAGCGTGGGTGCATGGTCTAGGCTGCTCTGTACCCTGACAAAGGACAGTCTAAAGCTGGCTTGCGTGTAGCTCTTGAGAACTCCCGCCATCAACGAGTCGATTCCCTTGAGAAGAAGAGACGGATCAGGCATCGAAATACCCAACTGCCTCCCCCGGGAGGCCCACCGTGACCATCGTCTTAACTTTAAGTTCGCATCCGAAGGACTACTAGCCACACCTGGGTTGTGTAGATAAGAGAGGATAAGTTGTCGCTCTTTGGCCCCGCCAGGCTGACCCTTAATCAACACCCTGAATAGCACGCCAACCGTTGTCAGATCCCCTTGCGATATGAGTTCTTCAGAGAGATCCTTAGGCAAAGCCTTGATGAGCATCGAAACCGTCCTCTGCTCCAACCGCATGTAGCGTGGTTCCTGCAGATTCTCGGGGAGCGCTCCTTTCAGCGCCGCTCTTTCAAGCGGCGGGGACTGAAGCCACACTTTGTAGCGTCGGTCTGCTTCTGCTGCAACCAAACCCCACCAAGTCGACGCTGCCGGCGCCAAGTCCGAGATAAGTGGAGCAATTAGCGTTAGCCAATCCCCTACTGCTAGCGGTCCCTCTTCTGGAGTTATTTCAAGAGTTGGTAACATGATTTCACGGCTTCTATCTGGAGCATACGCCCTAGCATCATCATGCGCTCTCATGTCCGGCATAGACTCCATCAAAGGGCGTGGGTACATACTCAGAACAGGCACAGAAGCTCCTGGCACAAATGCTTGCTGGCTACTACTTGCGGTCATTTCCTGATGCACAAAAGGAACGTGTGCTGGGGGGCTTGGAGGCGGTGTTGTTTGGGGTGGCCGAGGCGGAGGAGACGGCGGCCTGTACGCTGGCCTACTGCAACCGAAATCCAAACCTCTATCAACCCTTCCCTTGACTGTAGCTCTACCCCCTTCAAAGCCCACTTCATACTCTACATCCCCTATCCACACCGTAAGCTCCTGGGCCGGAGCGGTCCTTTGTGCCACAGTCGGCACGGGATCTGGCGGAATGCTGGGACCTACTTGGCCTTGCAGAGAGGAATTGATTGGGGCCTGGAGGGGAGCAGGGCTTCGAGGTTCAGGATTCCCTTTTCCTATCCCCTTATCACCCCTACTTTGTCCCCACAGGTCCAAGGAGCCATCGCTCGCGCTCTCCCTACTTCTGAGGCCTACTCCAGCATCAATTTCCCATAAGTGCATCAAGGGTCTTTGGAATGTCGAGGTTAAAGGGGCATGAGGTTGGCTACCAAAACTGTCAGGTGACCCGATAAAGTGTTGTTCTACCGGCCTAGTTGCTATCGGGGAGCTCGCTTGCGACGTTCTGTCATGTAGAGGGATGGGATAGGCTTCTACTGGATGCTCTGGCGTCGCTAGTTCCCTACCATCAAGGCCTGGAGCTACAGGCGGATTCCTAGGAGCAGATGGATCCATTTCCAAAGCACCAAAATGTGCCCTTAAGGCTTCCATATCTACCCTACCTAGGCTGTAAGTGTTTCTAGATCCACCTGATCCCACACTCCGCGCTTCTTCAAGGCTCTGCAGCCTTGCATGGACACCCTGCAGAAGACCCTGCATCTGGCTCATGCCCTCTACAAGTTGTGCAAGTTCGCTACCTGAATGCCGGCTTTGCCCGCTATGCGACATCGGATCCCTGTACAGCAAACCTTCTACACCACGCACCCCTAAACCGCGAGACCCAACCTGTGCCAGGTCCTGCGCCGCAAGAGCTCCCTGAGTCTGAGGGGTCTCCCGCACTGCCAGAGGCCCTGTCCCAACGCAGGCCCCTGCCAGTGGGAGAGGACTCATCCTCTCTTCAGGCCCTTGCTGCGCACGACCAGCAACTGCCAAGTTCTGCTCATCACTTCTGGTTCCCAAGCCAACTGATCTCAAAGAACTTCGTAGTGCCTCCAACGCGTTCCAACTTGACTGACCTCCCCGTGGATCGCTGGTCGGATCAAGAGATCCTCGTCGTGACGCGTCTGGATCAAGAGATCCTGGTCCTGGGGACCCTGAAATTGTCTGTCTTAAAGACGTGGCGGTCTCATCGTTGTCCCGATCAAGAGATCGTTGCCTATGTATCTGCATATTGTCACCATCGTTCTGATCAAGAGATCTCATCGTTCTATTGCGTTCTCGAGCGTCATTAACCGAAATCTCCTCCTGTTGCTGAGCCGCTTCCCAGGCCTCATTCAAGCTGAAGTGCTGCGCGTTCTCGGAGTTGCTCGGCCCTTGCCCTCTCGGCCCTTGCCCTGTGCTGGCCTCTGACCTTCCAAGTTGTAGCGCTTCACCACCTTGTATCTGCTGGGATGTATCATAGCTCGGCTCAAGAGAAGTCTCATCCACACGCACTTCTCGCGATATCTCTGCTGGTGTAGCAGGCGGCGAGGCCATCCTCGAAGCTGTGCCCATTGACGAAGGGGTCTGGCCTGTCTGGCCCGCGGGAGATCTTCCTCTCCTCATGCTCAAGTCCATGGCTCACAGCAGCGACTCTCGGATGTCTCTCGTTTAGAATAAGATTTGCAAAGGCTAGACCAACCAGGAAATTAATCTAAGCGCTAAGCCCTAGAGCCCTTGGGCTCATAACCTAAGGAAACCAACCCTTAGATTAGAGGTTAGGGTTTAGGGTTAATGCTGCCAAGACACCTGTGAACTCGCACAAGTCAAATCGCCCTTTTCAGATACTGCACTTGATCATAGCTAAAAGGCCTGCAGAAGGGATATGATGCTTCATCATCAAGATAGGGTTTAGGGTTTAGAAAACCCAAAAAAACACCCAAAAAAAACCAAAAACATACCCAAAAAGAACCCCCACCCGCTCTCCGTTGGCACCTCGTCATTCAAGATGCTGTCAACCAGCTCCTCATTCTCAATGAGATGATAATGGAACTCGGGGTTGCAATCCCCGGGAGAACTGCCACGCGTGAGGTCCACCAGGTGACCTTCCATGACCCGATTCAGTCCACGCTTCTGGCCCTGCAAATCGTGCCCCACCTCTGCTAGCTGGAGATCTGCCAACGCACTCGCCTTCCCCAAGTCCACGTGCAAGAACACGGTCAACGCGTCAGTCGGCTCGGTGAACTCCATGAACTCAAGGGGCACATAGCAACGCTCCAACAACTGGCCCGTGACACCACAGAAAGTCAAGCGGACTCGGACGTCATCGACCTTCGGACCAAACCCATGGGGCAGGACAGACTCGGTCGCGGGGCTGAACACGCTCCACGCAGCAAGCCACGGCTCCTCTTGCGCAAGCATGCTGAAACCAAGCCTCTTAACCACCGGTGGCAATGGTTCACCCAACGTATGCACCGTGCACGCGGGTCCCTTCCAAAGGCAGAACTGCGTGCCTCGTCCAACCATCAAACTTAAGCACCGTGTCCGTGTCCTTCGCGCTCACCTTGAAGCCCGGAAGACCCTCGGGATGCTCTTCGTCCTTCCATAAAGACGGTTCTGCTTGGCGCGGGCAATCCGCCGCCAAGGCGGAGGCAGACTCAATCCACACCTCGCCACCCTTGTACTTGCCGCTGCAGTACAGGAAGTTGTGAGTGCCCTTGACGTTCTGCGAATCTCGGTGGACTGCAATACCAGTACTGAAGGACACCTGCAGAGCATTCCAACTCTCGGCGCTAGTCCCCTGTTCTTCACATCTTCGCTTAACGAAGCTGTTCAGGTAGCGGGCGGTGCCCTCCCATAAACGCGTCAAGTTTGTCACGCCGGTCATGCCTCCGTAGCGGAAAGCTCCGAAGATCATTCGTCGGCGTTCCGCGCTCGCATTGCGCCGTCCGACCGCGCGTACTGCGGCTCCATCTCCCACGCGAGCTGCAACTCGCGGAGAAACCCGGCGCACGCTGTGACGGAAAAATCCTGCTCACGGAGCAGGCGCTCGGCATACCTCTCTACTGTGTCCCTCGCTCTGGCTTGCGAGGTCGAGCCATAGGCGGCATCGGGCAACAGCCCACGCTCGGCTCGGGCACGCTTCCCCGATTGCTCCGCCTAGAGAGGGCAAATCTGCGAGGGCCGCAGAATGCGCTGCCAACTTTCGCTTACACAAGCTACACCTGGACCCATCGCCAGACAGATCCTTAAACACCGCTTGACCAGCGGCAACAACCTCCCCAACGTCCCACTGCTGCGGAAGGAGAGAATCGTTGTGCACTACCACAGATCCCTCTCGACAGATGTCGGGGTCGAAATGCCCATAGGCGACTTCGGGCCCAACTTGCACAGGCACGACCTTCGTCACCCCATTTGGCGCACCAATCCACGTGACTGGCACAACAGCCGACTGATCCGCCTCGAGGTAGACCTCGGCATCTAACATAGCACGGAGTGGGGCCTCAAACCGACACTCTGTACCGTCTAGTAAAAATGTTTCGCGCTCGAGCTCTAGTCTCGGCAGTGTGATCCCGAGCTTCTCGAAACGATGCCCGGACTCAACTACGCGATGCTGGAGCCCTTTGGGACCAAGCGTCGGGAATCCCAACTTTCACTTTCACTTTCCACGCAGCGAAGTCAACCTTCACTTGGCGAACCCGAAGGACAGGCGGAAAGGCCCGGCACAAGCTGTGCTTAGCGCATCCTTCCAAAGAACGCAACAACACAGGATAGGAGGATCACTCCGGCGCGAGCACCCATGAGCAAGCGATCCCGAAAAACGTCATATGTGACGAGGTTTGTACACTGTAGCACATCATGCTGGGCACCTAATGTAAAACAGTACATAACAATCGGAGGGGATGTACAGTCTCTAAGCTTCATTCAAGGGCACAGCTTTCCTGTGATCATCAGTTTGCCACTTTAACTGGCCAGACTCACAAGGCACAGCAGTGTAGTAACCAGCTTCCGGGGTTGCGCCATGCTGTCGGATAGGCGAGCTCAAGCCAAACTTGCAGAAACGGCACGACGCGCCCACTGTAAACACAGGAACATGGAGGAGCTGATCGACTTCAACATTGATGTGTAACTTGCGTGTGCCCGATTCTGTCGTTGCAAAACGCCCGAGCTGCAGTACCACAAAATCAGGCTCATCAATGAGGGCGTGGGTTGCTGCCTGCTGGTGCCACGCATTGAGACATGTCTGAACTGACACCGAAGGCTCCCAGCTGTTCTGTGTAGAGTCGCCCGTAGTCGGTTTTTGGTCTGGTCGTCTTTTGGTTGGGTTTCTTGCGTGTTTCGTTCGTTTTTCGCCTTTGCCTCCCCCTTTTCGGTTTCCCTAGGTTGGGGCAGGTCCTTGCCATGGCACTGCAAGCTCCCTATGCTAGTGATCCACTGGAGGTTGCCATTCCGAGCGATCCCTTCGGCGTCGTGACACGCGCTGAGCTGCAGTTATACGTACTGGCCTTTACTGTTCTGCCTCTGTTTGCCTGGATAATGTGTGGATATTATTTGGTTTACAGGCTACGAACTTCGATGCACCTACGTACAGCTGATCCCGGTCCCAAGTCCGGGAAGCATGGCTCATATTTTTCTTCAACGTTGCACAAGCAAGCCATGCTGGAGCCGAGGGTTAGGGGCTCTGCAGACCAGCAACCCCTTGTAGCTCACTCACGAGCTGCCGGCTTCAGTCCACGTCTTGGGGCAAAGCCTAACGGTCTGTAGCTCTGGACTGCCTTCATCATAGCCATTATTTGGAAGATGAATTCTGTCATGACTTTCTTCGAGGTTGAGAACGACACTTCTTTCCACCTTTGCTATGATTTTATTGCGGACTCTCTGCTGCTGGTGGTCAGGTCACTCACTGTGGCTCCCTCGCTTTCAATGTTTTTGGTGGAGATGAGGCCATGGTATGACCATTTTCGGGAAACTGTTGCAGTTCTGCTGAATGCGCAGCCTCTGAATGGTTTTCTGCACGCGCAATGGTCTCTGCAATATAGCAGCTCGAAGGGGATGTGTGCTCCTTGCTGGGTAGGCGGTCACCGCACCTGGGAAGTTGTAGCACGGCCTTTTCGGACGATGTTTGTTTCGCTGGATGAATATGAATGGCTTATCTGGTGTATGGCTTCTGAGACACTCGGCTTAACCCGCATGATGATGTTATATGTGGCGACATATGCTTTGGCTTCGCTCCTGCAACCATGGATCTCCACGAGAAGAAACGTGGTCTGGCCTGTCACTGCTGGGGATGAAGAGGTATGCTACGCGATGTGGCCTGCCCCTGTAGGTACGCACAGTGATGGAGAGCCATTGCCGCACCATGTTGGTTTTGCTGCGCAGCTCATGCCTTTTGTCTACTTGCACGGTTCTTTTTGTAGATGGATCCGGCCACCCGACTTGACCCGCAAGCTGACGTTTTTGTGGCGACATTTAGCATTGGCTTGTTCGCACCTGCTCATGTTGTCTCCTTGCGAGACCGTGCAATGCAGGCCTGCCTAGTGAGGAAGATGTGGTATATTGCGCGATGCGGTCTGCCCCTGTAGTATGCACTATGGCGGAGAGCCTGGCCTTCAGCGATGTTGGTCATTTCGTGAGGCTTCTTTCGTTTCTGAACACTGCTTTTGGTTGATGCACTAGACGTGAGCCTCTTCTGATGAGTGAAGTGAAGTTCTCCCTTGTACAGTCGTTCTTTTTCCGCTGGGTCTGCGGTCACCTGACAGTTTTCTCCTGTTTTCTAGTTGCCACTAGGCTATGATGAACCTGCGCTGCTCATGGGGCTTTCGAGCCGGGTGCAGTGGCAGTTTGTTGTCTTGCTCTCTTGAAGAGCCGTGTACAATCTTGTACATGACGTAGCCCGCAGTGCGAATACCTCTTCGCAGCGTCTGAAGAAAGAAAGAACTGACACCGAACTGGTAGCCGACGACGACGGCACGAATCTGAGATCCGGGCAGGCTGAAGTGGTATCTCAAGGGCCAATCGCAACAGGACCTGAATCTAGGACTTTAGTGTGCCCCAGCTCAATTCTCCGGGCTGCCCAAGGGCAGCCAAAATGTGTTACGCCACAGAAAGACACAACCAGACTGCAATAAAAAACTGCCTGCAATGTACCGAGCACAACAGACACGTGAGAAAGGCATTGCAATAACATGTGTTGCCTTCATTGCCAAAACTTGCTTAGAGTACCATTGCTGGATTGATGTGGACGGTTGGCCAGCCGAGCGCTGCAGCCTGTCCTGTCTCATGTTCGCTCCGACGGGGAGCCAGGCAGCTGTCTGAGCCAGGCGATTCAGGTGGACCCATAGTTGATGTGCTTCGAAGTCCGATTTCCAGCATTGCCAGAGTCGGCCTGGCGGTTCACGCTCGCCTAGACTCAGACCGCAGATCCATCAGCCACTTTCTGCGCAGATATTGGAACCAGTGCCTTGCTGCCTTGCATCAGGCCTACCGATGAATGCTGCTCGTTGCTATACGCCTTGAATTGAAGGAGGCTGGTCTTTCTGTCAGTGCAGACAAACCGTCATCTTGATTGCAAAAGGCAGCTTCGGCCCTTCGCAGCAAGGTGGTACCTCTCAGTCGTCCGAGAATGGCCCCCCCCCCTTTGGGCAAAGGGGGGCTTAAGCCCCCCTTTAAGCCCCCCTTTAAGCCCCCCTTAAGCCCCCCTTCAAAGGGGTCCCTGCAAAGAGGGTCCCTTCGGGGGGGGGGGGGGGGGGGGTGGCTTAAATAGGGTTTATTTGGAAGCTGAGAGTCGTGTTTTTGTGTGGTAGATACAAAGGAAAGGGCATAAGAAAGTAGCGAAAGGAGCTCCTCAATTCCCTTCCTTATCTCCTATCCTCTTTTCTTTACAGGAGAATACAGGAAAAGAGGGCCTCCATTCCCCTCTTGTTCTTCCTTTCTTGTGTTTTTGTCATTTAAAGGGGAACAGGAGAAGAGAAGGGAAAGAGAAGGAGAGAGGAGAGATAAAAGGAACACAATTTTAATGGGAAGAGCCAAGAAAAGAATAGAAGAGAGATGAACAAAGAAGATGGAGAGACCAAACAAGGCGCAAAGAAGATGGCACTCTTCTTTATCTATCCCCTCTCCCTTCCCTCTCCCTTCCCTCTTTCTTTTCGAAACAGAAAAACTAAAAAGGAAGAACTTGAAAAGGAGAAGGGTAAGGAAAAGAGCAGAAGAGACAGGCCGAAAAGAGGGATATGATGAAGTATGGGCAAGGTCCACGCGCAAGGAGTCACCCTCGGCTTACCCTTCCACTGCTTTATCATACAAGTTCCTTTCTTGTGTTTTATTAGTTAAAATGTAACAGAAGGAGAGAAGGGCAAGGGAAGTGAGAGAGGAGAGACAACAAGGAGGCCATTTGAATTTTCTGGAGGGGTACTGAAAAGAAGAGAAGACACAAGAAACAAGGAGACGGATAGCACTCTTCTTTATCTATCATCTCTCCCTTCCTTGTCTCTCGCTTTTCCCTCTATAATTAAAACAAATAGGTGCCCTCTCCTCTTCAGGAAGCCCCCTTGCCCTTATTTTGCTAGCTTTCTGAAACGACAAGGAAAACAACACATAGAAAGAGAGGAAAGGGAATGAAACAATAGGCAGTGGAGCTCTTCAGTGTCTTTACCTATCTCTTTTCTTCTTTTTCTTCTTCATTCAATAAGGAAAAGAAGCTTCCTTTGGTGTGATTTTGAGATTCAAAAGAGAACAAGAGAAGAGAAGGGAGAGAGAAAGGAGAGAGGAGAGATCAAAAGGAAGCAATTTTCATGGGAAGAGCAATGAAAATCATGGAAGAGAAATGAAGACAGGAGAGGGAGGTGCAAAATCAGGCAAAGAGAAGATGGTGCTCGTTTTCTTCTTTCCTCTCTTTCTTATCTTTCCCTTTCAAATAAAAACAAAAGGAAGAACAATGAACATGTAAAGGAACCCGTTTTCTTTTTCCGTTTGGGAACAAGGAAAAGAACAGAGGCGATAGGGCGAGAGGAGGGATTTGCTGCAGCATGGGGAGGGTCTACGGACAAGGAGCCAACCCCGCTCGCTTTCCCCATCCATTGGAAAAGAAAGGAACATGGCCTCCATTCCCCTCTTGTTCTTCCTTTCTTGCGCTTTTGTCATTTAAAGGGGAACAGGAGAAGAGAAGGGAGAGAGAAGGAGAGAGGAGAGACAAAAGGATTGCATTGTTAATGGGAAGAGCAAAGAAAAGAATAGAAGAGAGATGAATAGAGAAGTGGGAGAGACAAAACAAGGCGCAGAGAAGATGGCACTCTTCTTTATCTATCCTCTCTCCCTTCTCTCTCCCTTCCCTCTTTCTTTTCGAAATAAGAAAACAAAAAGGAAGAACTATGAGAAGGAGAAGGGTAAGGAAAGGAACAGAAGAGATAGGCCGAGAGGAGGGGTATGATGAAGTATGGACCGGTCCACGCGCCAGGAGTCACCCTCTGCTTACCCTTCCACTGCCTTATC